CACAAAATAGATACTAAAGATTCCAGAGAGACATCAAAGCAGAAAAGTATATTCCCCACCGGAGATCATGGACAACTTTGACTGAAACATGAGGTTCACAGTGACTCCTGAAGAAATGGCAGTTATCCATCCAGGCAAAGAAGCAAGAGTAGGGACAAAGTAATCCCAGGCAGAGGGAACTGCATGGCAGGTTTGTGTATTCAGAGACCACTGGGATCTTCAAACTGTCATGGCACAGTAATCATAAGCATAGAGGACAACAGAGGAAAAGAAAAGGCAATTTATGAAACCAGAAAGCTGGGTAAAGACAATGGTTTGAGGGCTACACAAGGAGCCTTCTGACATCATTAATATACAATAAAGCAAGAACACTATTCCTTTGGATTCATTCCATTTTTTAACATCTACCAATGCCAGGCAGTGTTACAGACAGCAGAGGTATGGTGGTAACAAACCCAAGTTCCTGATTCCTGATGTGTTCATTCTGATCGGACAGAAAAGATAAGATATAAACAATCCACATCAAGCAGTGATAAACCCTGGTCTGCAGAAATAAATTAAGACTGAAAACAGGGCCTGAAATGTGAGGCCCAGGGATGGAGCACAGCATGATATTTTACAGAGTGGCCAGGACAAGGAATCCCTGAAGAAGGGATATTTGAACAGAGCCCTAAAGAATAAGGATGGAAGATATGGATACTTGAGAGAATTGCTTTGAAACCGATGTGATCACAAATGCAAAGTTCTTAAGAGGGGAGTGCTTGGTGAGTCGAAGCAATATGATTATTAATCATGATATGTCAAGTTGACTAGATTAAGAAATGCCCCATAGATCAGTACAGCACAATTAGGGGTATCAGCAAAGATGACTTGCATGTAGGACAGCAAACTGAGTGCGGGGAGACCCACTCCACGTGTGGGTGGCACCGACCAACAGGCTTGTAGCCTAGAGAGAATGAAAAGGGGAAGAAGAAGGAAGTGTGTTTGTTTTGGATGAGCTCCAGTTTCGCCCTTGGATGTGGTCTCCATGGTCTCTCTTCTTCAGCCTTCCAACACGGGCTGGCACCTGCAGCTCTCTGGGAGCTTCTAGGTCTCAGGCTGTGGCCTCTGCTGCATCCTTGACCCTGCTGCTTCTGTGCCTCCCACCTTCTTGGCCTGAGCTGCTAGTGCATCCTCTGGCTCTCCAGCGACACTTTTTCACACTCTTTGGACAATGATCTAAAGCAATGCATGTACAGTGGTACATATGTGTGTCTTAAAGGTAGATCCTAGGAATCAAGATTTTTTTAATTTAATGAAATAATATTTACTATATGCAGTATACTCTGCTGTTCACACCATTCTATTTTTTAAAAATTTTAATCATCATCTATCAAATGGATTTGATAACATACTAATAGGTCCCAATCTAAATTATGGGAGACACCTAGGCAAGGCCACGTAGACTGTCTGGGGGAAAAGACTCACACCTACTTTTAAGGTATCCAGCACCTGGCCCAGTGCCAGGCACATAATCATCCCAATGTTATTTGGTGAGTGAATGGATAATATAACCACAAGTTACTGATAAGGCCCAAAGAATGAAGACTTCAAATAGCCATTTTGATGCCAAAATCAAACTGTAACCACCACATGACTTTCAGATCATAGCTTGTCACCAGTTTCACTGGAAGTGACTCAGCAGTTAATAAGGAATCAAGTGTCACTTCTCACGGGGGACACAGCTTTCTCAGAGGGACTATCAGAGGTAGAAGAAGAGTACTTAAATTTACTTTAGGAAAATTATGGACATTTTCTGGAACTTGAATATTTTTTCTGAATAAAACATAAATAAAATAAAATAAATTGGAAGTAAGATCTTTAAAAAGTTTATTGTTGTTTTATGGAAATTAATTGCTTTTATCTTTCTAACATAGATTATAAAATCACGGATCCAAGTCTGACCATGTTCTAGATCTCCCCACTAGCACATTTAGAAAAAAAAAAAGAACTATATGTAAAGAGAACAACCTTCCTCATGAAATTAAATGTTTCCTAAAAGAACTGAATTGGGTTTCAGAAAATCTGACCTTATTCTATCAAATAATAATTGCTAACATTTATATGTCTATGTACTTTATATGTAAAATAGTGCTCTATTAAAGACTAACAATAATTATATGGTGAAAGCATTATTATTATCCCCATTTTATAAACAATGAAATAGAGGCACAGAGAGCTAAATAAAAAGCTTACCATCAGCCCTCTGGATCCATGAGTTCTAAATCCACGAATTCACCATGGAGTACTATTCTGCCATAAAGAAGGATAAACTTGAGTCATTAGTAGAAAAATGAATGCACCTTGAAATGTCAATGTTAAGTAAAATAAATCAGACACACAAGCTTAAATATTGCAGTTTCTCTTATATAATAATCTTAAATTATAAACAAAGAGCAAAATGAAAGATAATAAAAAGGAGACAGATCTTTCTCCAGTGGGGAGAGGATCAGTAGGTAGGGGAGGAGCAGGAGGGAAAGGGAAGGAGAGGGGACGTGGGGTGTGCTGTGTCCAGTGCCAGCCCCAAACAGCGTGGACACTGCACAGCAAACACACACTGACAAAGAAGACAAGAGAGAAAGAGGACTAAGTCTGTGCTGAATACGTACAGATTACTCTTCCTCATCATTACCTCCTTTTTTTTTTTGGTTTTTCTCCAGTACCGGGAACCGAACTCACGACCTTGCGCTTGCCAGGCAGGCGCTTTTGCCGCTGAGCTAAATCCCCAGCCCCCCATCATTACCTCCTAAACAAAGCCTAAGAGCTATTAACGCAGCATTATGTTGTCTTAGGTCTTGTAAGTAATGGAGGGACGATGCTATGCATACAGAAATATGTGTGTAGGTCTGAGACAAAGACTATGCCATTTTATATAAGGACTGAGCTCTGTGGATTTTGCCACCTGGAAAGAAGTTTCTTAGAACCAATCCCTCAAGGGTTATGAAGGACAACTACTATGCCAAGCCCTACCACACCATCTATATAGTAATCTATTTAATGTTTATAACAGCCTCATTTTATAAATAAGAAAATAGGTGCAGGAAGATCTAATTGCATAGTAATGGAACCAAGTCCAGGACTGTATACTCCAGAGTCCATTTGCCTGGTAACTACACCACTCTACCTCTTTAGCTGCATTGTCTGAGGCAAGTTTGAACTGTAAAATATGATCATACTTGCCAAGTAAGACCTCAGCAAACACATGAGCTCCTCAGAAGATGAGAGTGGCCCTCCAATGCATATTTTGCACAAATCATTAAATCAGAATTTAATATACTTGCCATCAACAACTTAGCAAGCACAACTTATAAAAATTTATTTATACTTTGCCCAATAAAATTCTTTGCTACAATTTTTAAACCATCTTAACCCTTAATTCAATTATAACCTTTCTGAGTCTGCTTTGTTTTGCTTTCCTCTTGCTTCCCTTAGACCCAAGTATAGGACATCATGATGTTACATTAAAAATAAAAACAGCTGGGGATTTCGCTCAGCAGCACAGTGCCTGCCTGGCAAGCATGAGGTCGGGAGTTCGATTCCCGGTACCAAAAAATAAAAAATAAAAACAGTACATGGAATAGGTTATGTGTCTATTTCACATCTCATTTTTAAAAAACTGATAGATATCTTTAAATGTTCATAAAGAGATGCAATTGTCTAAACTTCAGCATTTACAGCTTCATTGAAAAGAATTTCCCCCATGTTTTCCAGCACTTGTTATTTTCTTGCCCAGCACTTAGTACATACGTCCAAAGGAAGAATGTCATGCTGACCTCGACGAGCTGCACCCGAACCTAAGCTACACTCTTTGTTACCATGATAATGTCATATTAATGGTCAGAATTCATTTCCTAAGGAGACTTTGTTCTTCATGGGGACTCAGCACATATATTCCAATAATAATTTGTGCTCAAATGCTCTATCAACACAACTGAGGGATGAAGGTTGGTTCCAGCAATGACAACTCTTTTTCACTATTCTGAATAAAGATCAGACAACAGACAGGCACAGAATACCACACTGACCTCTGACCCTCACGCTGAAGGTCACTAGACTCTGAACAAGAGACAAGATCTTTATAGTCATGCGAATCACAAAGGGGATCTACAAACTACAACTGGCATTTCTTTATGAACCGATACAGCTTAAACTCCGATCTGAGGTATGCCCCAAAAGCTTGTCTTTATGGATAGGTGAAGATTTCAAAATCTGAGCATAATTCAGAGATTGAAAACAAGTAACTGAAATATGCACTTTCCCGAGGTGGTGTGGCGTGTTAAAGCAACCATTCTCTGTGAGAGCTTCCCACTGTTTGGATCAAAGCAAAAGCCTAAATGCTCAATAGCACGACTAATATTTCTTGTTATTTTTTAAAGTAAGTTTTGGAGACAATCAACAATAATCAGAAACTGCAGAGTGGTCAGCTTGCCCTAATTTAACATTTCACCCTGCTAACATCCATAACCTTGAATGAGACCCGCTTCTAAACCAGTTTTACAGAGAAGAAACTGTGTTGGTCATGTTCTTCTTTTGTCTCTTAGAAATACCTTAAAGCTCATTTTAACAGCTATCTCCCAAATGTTTTGTTATAATATGAGGTTATAGAGTAAAATTATAACAAACTCTTCCATACACTTTAGTAACACAGACTAAGACAAATCCTTACAGGATGTTCTGTTCCATACTGTGTCAAGATTAGCACAGCCGTTAATTCATTTTTAAAATGTTTCTGCCTGAAAGTTCAGAGGGAGGTGATGCTGTGCATGGATTAACAAGAAACAAACATGAGCAGGCATTGTCCTTGTGAAAACGAATAACCTGCCTCTTCTTTAACAGGGTGGCTTTCAACCCTATCTGATATTGAGCAGATAATTTAGATAAAAGAGTGAAATCCAGCAAAAACTGAGAAAGAAGTGTCCAGTCCCAAAACCCAGAACAATGGGGGCACCGACACATGGCAGCTCCATCACGCTGGTCTCCCTCGGTTAGTGGACACGTCGTCCCTATTTTTCGGGAGGAGACAAGTAGTCAATAAGCAGAAGAACTATTGATCTACTAACAACTTTAATACAACCTTGAAATAAATTCTGTTCAAAACTCAGAAGCCTGGCTCAGTATAATAGTTAAATTAGTGATCCCAGGCAAAACAAAAATCCTACCCTTAGGCAATTATCAGCATGATCCTTTATTTGATGTCTAACGGGCTGTTCAAGGGAGACCCTGGTAGTTTGGCCAAAGGGAAACAACACATCGAGTAGCTCAATATAGGCCAAGCAAAATGGAGCCTCCCAGTATGAGAATATTAAATTATTATGGCTGCAACGGGGGGCACATTTGTTAGTGGCCCCCTCCCTTTATGGCCCTGCGCCTTTCTTCCCCTGCAGTGAGTGTTCGTTGTCATACCTAATATTAAAATGCTTTGATAATAATAAGATTGTCAAGATAATAGCAGGAAACTTTCAGTAGAAACTCCATTTTCAAAAACCAGCTGTGTTCAACCCTAATTGATCTAAGGCAATGTCTTCAAAAAGCAAAAATTTCCCTATTTAAAAATTAGAACAAAGCTCCCACTGTATGTAAACAAATACACAGGGCCTAAGTGTAGAAGTACAGTGAACATTGTTAACTCAGCACCACAAACAATGCGGAGAATGAATGCTCCAAGCCAGTCAAAGAAACGGACTGTACAAGGAGCAGGGCAGCAGAATGAGAATGAGTATTTCCTAATCTAACATTCATCTGGGGTTGGTGTGTTTTCCTCCATCCAAAGGGCTTTAAGTGGATGCGCGGAAGAAGACAGGGTCTTAAATCAGAAAACGATCCCCCACGTGGGCATTATTGATGGCACCTTGTTAGAAGCAGTTTGGACTTCTTTATTCCCTTTCATTTTGCACAACACTTTACTCAATAGACTCAGTGACGTGGGGTGTAATGTGGGGGTTTTTCTGAAGAACACTAGTATTGTTAGTATGTTCAATATCTGTTCTTCTTAAGGTTGATTCAGAAAACCTTGCTCTTTTGTCCCAATAAAATAATGGCTTTAGGCAAACTCTACCCTTTTGCTTTCTTTTCTTAGTCAACACTATTGGATCCAAGGCCATTTTATTTTTCTTTAAGTGCCAGCAGAGGAGGGGAAGAAGCAGCTGAAGACCAAAGCTCTGCAGGTGGCTGCTGATAAAAACAGTATTGTAACTTGCTGGCATGGGCCCTCTCACAGCGCCCTGAATACAGGTCAAAAGTCTTCACGAATTCAGAAGTCAACTTTAAATTATAACCTACATACAAGTGAGTCCTTATCTAATGCCACCCAAAAAGATTCTTGGTTTTTCCTTTCTTAGTTACATAGGAATGCGCAGGGCGCTTTCCAGGTGAGCACAATGGTGGACCCTTCCTTAAAGAGGAATAATCCTTTTTTATAATTATATAGTATATGAGAAAAATATCAAAGTAAAATATTTTTATAACCTGAATGAGAAAGAAATATATAAAAAGATAAAGAATTTTTTACTTCTACTTTGTCATCCTATTATAACAGCAAGTACTTAATTCACATTATGTGGCTACATTTGATTCATTATTCTTGGTCCACTTGCAGTTATGTTTCCCATTTTCATGAAATTAATAGTAATTGCTTGTATATTTCTCCAAAAGTATTGTCTTTTGCATATTTTACCTTTATATATAAATTGTAGATTTCTCAAGGTCAGTTGATACGTCTTTTACTGACTTTTTACATTTCCCCAAGGCGACCCTCTTTCTGTTCAGTGTAAATGTTCAGCAAGAGAGCTTACAGCTTGTAAAAGGAAGAAAAGAGACCTAAGAAGACTACAGAACTTCTTATTAATGGTTACTTTTGCAGTAATACACTCAGGAGGGGAGCTATGTTATACAATTACAAAGCATTTTGATTACAAAAATATATTCTTTTATAATAAAATATAACAAAATAAGTCTTAAAGAAAAAAAGGAAAATATGAAGAGGCACATTAATGTTTACCTTGAATGATTCAATCCAAGTAATGCTTCTACCTTACTAATGAATAGCCAAGCGAGGGGGATGGTGTGGGAAAATGAAGACAAACAAGAATTCTGGATTTTGTTTCAGAATGAGAAATGTTAATCTCAATCTATACAAGTAAAGGAACAGTGTTTTTCTAAAAGACAGTTTGACAGGAGTCTTACCATATTCATTCATTCAACAAAATTTTTTTAGCATCTACTAGGAACTGAGAATATAGCAGTGAATCAAACAG